TTTAATAAGAACGTGTTTTTTTATATTAAGAACATGCGAAGTGCATACTCGAGGCTAAGAGAAGAACAGTCTATTTTCACTCCTTTTACCTTCCTAAACTTCAATCTCGTACTCAGCCGGTCTTCTAGCCTGTGGACAGGCGCTCTGTTTGGGTAAAAAATATCCCCAATTCCCCGCTCGACCAAAGGCCTGTTCACAGGCTGCCGGTCTTCTGGCTTTTTAGGCAGTTGCTCCGCTGACCAAAGAGCCAGAAGACTCTAATCAGCTAAGTCCAGAAAATATGAATTATGTAATGTTCCACACTGGATACCGTAAAATTCCGAAAATAAGCCCCTCCAAATATAAGCTCCCCAAACTCGTAACGCAAAAAAAACCGCCGTTAAATCGTCCCTCCAAATATAAGCCCCTCTGGGGCCTTGTACTTGGAAATTGCCCTCAACTTGCAAAGTAAAACAAAGCAAAAACGGTAAATTTCCTTCCTACTATAAGGCTAGGCCAATCGACTTTGAAACGCAAATTTCCCTCCGAACAAATAAGCCCCCCAAAAGGGCCTTTGAAAAATATAAGACCCGGGGCTTATTTTCGGAATTTTATGGTAGGTTTTTACTCGGGTGCGACGCGGAGCTTCGTCGGCCGCTTCGGCTAAAGGACATGTATATTAACCGAAACACGAAAGCGCGCAAGAGTAAACACATTCCCGTACCTGTTTTTGTGTATGGTCAAAAAAATACATTTATATTGAACTTGAACAATTCATTGATGTGAAAACTATAATCATTGTCTTATCTTGTCTATACTGGCTTAACGTTATCAGAACGTCCGTAAGAACATTTCCAGGTTGAAACTGCCCAGAATAAGCCTGCGAAAAGCTGACGCATTTCCGGTCGTCGCTTCCCGCGCTAGCCCAAAATAAGAACGGTCCAGGCTCAACTCGAAAAATGGACGTCCTTATATACAGCTATTTTGAGACATGTTGAGAAAGGTTGTCGGAAAATATGTGCGCGCGACAATCCCGAAAGGTAATATCCAAATGGTACATGATCAATATGCTGTTGCTGACACTGCAGCTGTCGAACCTACTTTTGTTGCTTTCCTTTAGCACTCACAGACATATGTCCATGACCTCTCGTGCCATTCTTTCAAATTCCTTTGAAAAACAGCGAACTCAAAACCACCCACAATACCTTACGGGATTGTTGCGTGCACTTTTTCCGACAACCTCAATCTCGAAATAGCTGTATATATATAAAAAAAGGGTAACCAAAGGTGCGTCTGTTTTTGATTGGAGGCCCTTTCAGTAGGCCAATTAACAGATTTCCCTTTCCTGATTCCTTTCAAATACTTCAACTCATGAAACACATGAAACCTGTCCCCTGTTCGGGTGAGCCTTCCCTCGACTTCCCGTCCGTCTTCGCCGTATGGGCCGGTCATAAGTCCGTTGCTGAGTATTTCTTTGAGCATTTTTTGAAGTGTTGTTTTCCTTTTTGTCAGTTGTTTTGTTTTGTTTTGTTTTTTTCTTTTTTAATTCTCAAATAACGTAATACATTTCGGGTAAGAACAATAGTAAAGTTTTAGACATTCATTAAGATTACATCGACTCCTTTTTCAGCTCGCCGATGTTTAGATAAATATTTACTTCCTCACAATAATGATCATTTTCCAAAAGCACATAATACTGATCAACCATGATTTCCTACTTGGGTTTCTAGAAAAAGTATCCTTAAACATAGCGAGAAACAGAAAAAAACGGCCATGAAAATGTGTTACCATTGCCGCCAAATTACGAAATTCATGATGCTGTATCCCGGAAGAACGCGTGACGTCATTGCATTGTTGTCCGCGAACTTTTGATCAATGTTTGTGGCAGCTGAATCTCGTGGTTAATCGTTAATTTATTCCAAATAGTTCGCTCTTCAGTGGAAGTCGATAGACGGTGGAACAGCGTTGTTCGCGGCTAAAATTGGTACTAGCTCGTGACATTCGCTGCAGAAATGGCGAAGTCCATGTTTAAAAACTCCAGAAAAGTCGACATACATGAAAATTATGTTATTGAGAAAGAACTTGGAAGGTTTGTCTACATTTGTCGCATTATTTGGCGGTCTCGTATGTTTTTCTGGTTGGAATCTTTCCATCGCTTACATATAACCCAGCTCTTTTATGCGTTGCTTAGGCTATCTGTCTGATTTTGCGAAGAGCCGTCTTGATGATCGTTTTACTTTGCAAATCAATTATTCGAATGTTCTTTTGCTGTTGTCTTGTTGCTCTTCTGTAGGGGAGCAACTTCGGTGGTCAAGATCGGCAGGAATAAAGCCAAAGGAAAGAATTTTGCAATCAAGGAGATAACCAAAAGTGTAAGTAAAAGGCAAATGCATTTTTTTTTTTTACATTTAGTAGAGTATATCTAAGACTCATTTCCATCGATCGAACGATATCCTGTTTTGATTTCGGAACGTGCAGAACCGGTTTGATGCTTAATTTACCTCCTGTAGTGACAGTGTTACGATCCGCAGGTAACACCGTTGTTATGGTAGTTTGCTGTGTCATGATGGTGAACGTACGTAAAAAATTATGTTCGTCTCAGTCGTTTCCAGTAGAGAAGAGGAAATTGCTTATATCTTACGAGCGTGATATCTTTTGTTTATAGGTCGAGAAGCCATTGAGGGCTTTCTTCCGAAATAAACAACATTGCAGGTTTCGAATAATTAAACTGGAAATGTTCTAGCTCACGCAGATATTTGACAATCTTGTTGCGTTGCAGAATGGATAAAGAGGAAACAAACTTATTCAGACAAATTTGACATTTAATTGCATTGCAAAAATGACAGTAATTTTCAATCTTTGGAAGAAACAAAAGCTCAATGGAACTCCACATAAATTAAATGTTCTAAAACCAAAATCTAAATAGCTTTATTACTACAATGAACTTACGTGAAAACAATAGCAGTCTGTGGTTACAAGATATCTCAGAGCACTGTATACGCACGTCTCAAAACTACTTTTATTGCTAAGTTTAAGTTTAATATTTTTTCCATTGCGTACATTAAATGCAAAGTTGTCCAAAGTGCAGACATTGGCGAGATAATTTTTTTTTTTAAAGAATTCGGCTTTGGATATCCAACAGCCCGTACTGATAATAAATCCCATCCTACACTATTCAGTATAGTCAAGGGAACATTCGGTACATAAATATCTCATAATATAGAGCTTGGTTGTTTACCCACTTAATGTATCAAAGCAATACCATTTCTACTTTTTGAGTCAAGCACTGATTATCAACATGCCAAGACAGGATTTTTTGTCCAATGATTGACGTTTGACATTTAATTTGATATTGTAAGTCTATGGCTTATTTTAAATCCATTCTTTTGGGAATGTGGTTAATTTTAAGTGAATAGTTTATTAAAAGCGGCTTTCAAGAGTTCGTTTTCATATTCATATGTCAAAATATGCCTTTAAAGATGTCTCATTAATTTTGTACTGCATGCTTGAAACTTTTGTGGGGTACAAGAATACATGTACAATGAATACCCAAGGAAAAAAAATCCTTTCATAGTTGACCTGCCAGCAAATTGGTGGAACTTAATGAAGCAATCTATGACACTATCTTACCTTGTATGCATTGACTTCGTTTTTCAGAATTTCAGCCTTAAGATGTTAAAAAATCAATTGTCTTTTTGTCATATGAACAAAAGCTGTAACTTTAAACAGGAAAACTAGAAAATATAATTATTTCTTTCAGTCAGTAGAAATCGGTATTTTTGTATGTTGCAAATCCTCTCTTGTAGTGGTATATGTACATAAACTTGGTTTTAAAAATCTTGCCATCCTCAATGTTGTCAGAGGCTACATCTTCAACATCCCACAGTACAGTGATGTCCTCTAATTTAATGTGTCTGGTGGGGAGGTACTCCCTATAATGGCCTGTACATACAGAGAGGCTCCGACTGAAAGGGTTGCCTTTTTCAGGTCTCAGGTATTAGGAAAGGCTAGGGATTTCACTAGTTGAAGTATATAAAAGGGGTAAGGAAATCTGTCATTTCAGTTTTGGTCTGTAAAAAGGCCCAAAAGGGCTAATGGCTGCATGTTATGGCTGTGAAAAGGTCAAGCAAACATTCCGGTTTTGTCATTTATTCATAATTATACCAAGTCTGTGCATTTACAGTAGTTAAAGGGGATGCACGAAGTTCAAAACTAGGTCCCGTAAACTTTTATTATGAGCCTTGGGCTTATACAACTTTGTAAGGGGTTTTAGGAGGGCTTAAACATTGGGGGGGGGGGGGGGGGGGGGGGGGGGAGCTTATATCCGGACTTAAAAAAAGGGTTTCAAAACAAGCTACATAGAAGTGCTGACCAAAGTGCGTTTTGAATTTGATAGGTTTTTTAAGCTTCAAAATTTCGCATATAGTTGAACTCATTTCAATACAAGCTTGAAAACTAGGGGGGCTTATGACAGGATGTACTTTTGTTTACAGGTAGATGGGCCTATAAATGGGGGCGGGGGGGCTTATAATGGGAAGTTTACCGTATGTGAAAGGGGTACCAGTTGTCAATACAAGGTATACAAAAGAGGCACCTTGTCTGTCAAAAATGATATATGAAAGGGTAAGGGGTTGGACCTTGGTGGGAGCCTTCCCTTATAAAACGTTGGTGAGAACCTCCCTGGTAATGGGTCATTCTTCAAACCAACTTCTTCTTGCCTCATTTAGCTGTTTAATACCATGCGGATTAATTGTTACATCTTTCCTGCACAGGACCTCAGTGAATAATAATATTTATAATTTATTAACAAATTTATGAGAAAAAACTGTTCAACTTTCTACTCTGTAAAGAGTCCCTCTTTTGTAAGGGGGAGAGGAAGGGGGGGTTATGTGTCTTAAGTCTTGATTTAAAAACTTGTTGTTTCACTTATTGAGTATACTTAGGTCTCCAACCTCCCAAAAGTCTTGAAAAATTTCTGACACCATCCTCCAAAGGTCCTTTTTTCCTGCCAGTATATTTCTAAAAGAATGTGTAACTTATAGCCACTCTCAACCTTTATCCACCTTAAAAGCATTCCAGTTCTGCTTACTTGAGCTTTAAGCTGACCATAGACTAACTGTGTTGACAGATAGAATGTTATCTTTGTTTATTCACTGTGTAATAATCAAGGGTTTTACAATGTAACTCACCCCTGAGCAGTACTTTGCTTAGACATCAAAAATTCCATCTATTGTAAGTTGGAATGTGTCACTAATGCATTAAAACACCTGTGATACAATATAGTAATAAAGAAAATATTGATGCGATATGATAATGTAATATAATAATATTGTTCTTTTTCTTTCATTATTGGATTTCTCATAAAATTAAAAATTATGTCATAACTGTTTTTTGCAGGTGGACCCAAAGATAATTGAGACCGAAATTGGTATTCTGTTAACTCTCAATCACCCAAATATTGTAAGTTTAAATTTTTAAGTCATTTTGCATTTCAAAATCGTATTTGGCACTAATGCACATATAGGTTCTGACACATTGTACACTAAATTGAGTTTGGTTTGTTGTTCAATCATAATACTTTTAGATTTAAGTTACCTTTATAAAATATTTTTTGAGCTAAGCAAACCCAGGAAAATAAGGCATGAATTTTTAAACCAAAAAATTCTTAATTTTTGGAGGGGGTGGGTGGGGGGGGGGAATAACTTTTGGAATTTTCCAGTATTGTTCCACCTACTCTGGATGTGCTGCTTTGTAACATCAGTTAAACATGATTGTATGCTGCACACTAACTCATTTAGATTGTTTGAACATTATCATAGCTTATATAATGTCATTATCTTCAAATTACATCAATCAAGTTTCACTCAGCTAATTTCTGTTAGGAAAGTTCAGATAGTAATGTTTGTTTTATGGATGAACAACACTTGATTTTTTTCAAGATAAAGTTAGAAGAAGTTTATGAGACTCCAACACAATTCTTCATGGTGCTGGAACTAGTTACTGGAGGAGAACTGTTTGACAGGTCAGCGTTGGGGTAGTAAAATAATTTACATATGTGTACTATATGTATAGCTGCAGTGCAAAGTTAACAGTTAGAACAGTTTTAAAACTCTTTAAGCTATGTTTTGTAGAGATCCTCTTTCATGCGTGTCATAGATACCCCCTTTAAACTTAAATGCAGCTTTGCTCTGGGGTAATCAGAGAAAAGTTCACTAGTCATTACACACTATTGATGACATGATAAATCCCAACTTCCACATCTATGTCAGAATTCTTTCTCAGGGTTATTGAGTTACCATTGTTAGTCTATTCTTTCTTTGAATTTGACATATTGAACAAGATGAAATAGGCAAACCCTTGTTAATCAAGCGACAAGAAACTGAATGAATCAAATGATTTTGCTCCTTTTTGTTAATTCCTAGTATTTTGGAGTATTCTCATATGAGGGCGTTTATTAGACAGGGGGAGTTTATTAGAGAGGGGTGTCTGATGCAATTTTAACAGTTTTTTTCCAATTTGCATTGTATAATCCTTCTTTATTGAAATGTGAATTTGATGTTTAATCAGGAGTCACGTATGGCTCACATCCTTTCCTTTACAGGGTTGTCACTAAGATTTCAAGTTGCCGGGTAAATACAACAAGCAGGCGGGGAATCAAACGGCTAGGGAGTTCCTTTGGTTCTATTTTTCTTCTATTTTCCAATAAAAGTAGCCGGGGGCCACTCTCTTAGTAGCCGGGGAAAATCCCCGGCCCCCGGCTCTTAATGACAACCCTGCTTTAGTACTTGTGTTCCACCAAATGGCTGACTCAAATCATTATGTACTTTTTTAACAAGTGGTGTTCATGCTACAACATATTCTATTTCAGAATTGTAGAAACGGGTTACTACAGTGAACACAAAGCAGCTGAAGCTTTAAGACAAATCTGTGAGGCTTTAGAAGTGAGTGTACTTAATAGTTTACACTGAATTCTTTGTAAGCCTATAGCTGACGACCTTGGTGGGAAAATGCTTGTCCTGATGGTTTTGCCTTCAAATCCACTTCAATATATTTAGGTTCAGTAAGCTTCATTTCTTGCATCTCTTTCTATTTTACTCCCTTCCTTCTTGAACGTATCAGTCACTCTGTACCCCTGCCTGAATTACATTGTAAGTTATTTTATCCTTACTTATTTTTATGTAATTAAGCCCATAAAAGATGTAAACTTGACAATGGCAGGTTATTTACAGGGTGTTCATTAGGTATCGGAGATCAGAGAATTCTCCATTTACTAAGCAGAATTCTGCAGCTAAAGGTCCTAGCCTATGACTATTTTTTACTCAGATGTGGATCCTCTTTAAAAATATTCTCTGGAATGTTACACCTTTCTCCTTGTACTGGAATTCTCAATGAAAACCCTTTAGTTAACAATAATAATGAATGAGGCAGCTGTCGGCATGATGTGAAGAATTTATGCAGATTGAGGAGAATGTTATGAGGCTGCCATGCCACTGCCTGGAAACAAGCTTGCTATTATTTGTATTAATAGTGGGCAATATTAAATATTGCCACCATGATTTTGCTTTAACATCTTCCAAATATTGTAAGTGCTGGCTGGTAATGATAAATAAGCCATATCTTATTGGAGCCAATCAGAAACAGCCTAAAAATTCGATATTTTCATGATAACAATAATATATTTTCATAATAATATTAGGAAATAACAGTAATACATAGTTTTATAATTAATGAATTATTTTGCCTGTGATTTGGATTTAAGTCGGGAGCGGGCAGCAGTAGGGGGAGGGCATCACAGTTTATGTGAGCTGTTTCAGACCTCATGTTTGATCATTCCAATACCATGTTTTATCATTTCCAGAATCTTTGCTGACGTCATTGTTTGCATTTTTGCTTGTTAGCATGTGAGTTAAGCCATAGAAGGCATCGCGGTATGCACAAATTGAATTCAAAAGTTGACAGAGGTGGTTAATTGGAACAAGCTCTGCAATTTTCAGCTTTTTGCCTACTATAAAAAAGGAAGTAGGAGCCACCGAAGTCAGCCAAATTGCTGGGTGGCAAAAACATTAATGAGCCCCTACATTCTTTGTAAAGTTCTGAGTTTTTCACAGATAATTTAGAAATCTTAAACTATTTGGTATGTCTTGCTCAAATTTTCACAAATATTTGAAATTGTTATGCTCTTTCAGTATTCAGAGAATTTATGTTAATAGCTTGATCGGAGAATGAAAGGCATATGCTAATGAGGTGAAAAATGTAAACAAAGATTTGCCTATTAACACTTTTTACTGTTTAAGCTTTATTTAGCTAAACCAGAGATGTTTTCTTTTAATACTCATTGCAGTATGTTCATAGCAAAAGAATGATTCACCGTGACCTAAAGGTAAGTAGTGTCCGTTGCTAGTTTTCTTGTAACTTGCTTACGTATCTAAGAACAGTTTTTCTTGCTGTAATGTTGCCTGCCTGTTACATTTTAGCCAGAAAATCTTCTGTATGCTGATGACCGTGAAGATGCCCTCCTAAAAATTGCTGATTTTGGTTTGTCAAAGATTCTTGGAGAAAGTGACCAAGCAGCTACAGTGTGTGGAACCCCAGGATATTGCGGTAATGTTAAAACTCCAACCAGTCACTTAAAAACTGTGATCTATTGTGATGACCAAATTATTTTGGGAGTGTATATACATGTATTGTATTCCAAAGAAAAGGCAGATCAGGTATGAGAAAAAGCTAGTCTGTGTTGCAGACGAAATTTAAGTTGGGTTAGTAACGTCTGCAAAGCTCCCAACGGACTCAACAAATTACTGGAAGTGTGTTTCGAAAATTTGCTTTCATCCTGATGGGCAAATCAATAAAGGCTTTTTTAAGAGGCAGTCTCCCTAAAAGCGGTCCACTCGATTTCGCGACAAAAAATACTTTTCCTTTATTTTTTGTCGGTGAAGAAGCTTTAGTAGGTGTATACTAAAATCGCTATTTTTGTTTTCAAATTCTTATTCTTAGCTCTGCTACAAGCCAAAAACGAATTGAGTCCGTCCCGGCTTCTCAAAGAGTGTTTCGAAGACTAAAATTGATGGATTTTGAAAAGCGTTGCAAACAAGCGAATGCCATAAAAAAAAATCTGTTCGATTCAGTTTTTTAAGTTAACCTTCGATAGTTCACAGGCTAAATAAAAATATCTTTGATCAAAACATGTTCAAGTTACAGTGGTTCAAAGAATACCTATTTTGCAGGCTTAATCCAAACCCTGAAAGTAAGGAAGATTTGAGGAAAATATCTCAAAAGTTGCGACCTAAATCTGGTTTAAAAATCATATCAAAGTAAAGTTTTAAGCTTATTTTTTTTGGTTTATAGGCTCAGACTTGCGGGTATCTTCTGGGATTGCAACCAACAGTAGATTATAATCTGCCATTTTGCGTATTTGCATAATTACTGGCCGTGTCAGATGTCATGATTGTACAGGTTAAAAGTTCCATGAAATTGCCTCTTTTGACACTTGAATTGTCTCCGGCCTCAAAAAAAAGTAATTAAGCTTCTTTAAGTACTTTTGAATCGAAAGAGATATACTAACAGGGATGGTCATGCATGTTACTGATTACCACGATCAACTGGCGGGAGCCGGCGTCTTGTAACTACCTGAACTGAACAGTAAACAATGTTTTTAATAGAATTCTCGAGATCAGAAGTTGATCCAAGCTCTCTAAGTAATGAAAATAAATATCACTACCCCGGGATACAAAACATGTACAAGAAAGGCAACGTAGAATTTTAAGTTCTTTCCATAATTTGAGAGTGAATTTCACATGCGGTGCATAAAGGTTCATAAATTATAGTAATAATCAGGCTGTTTAAAAACGTTTGACGCACAACAAAAACAATTAGTCCTTTACCGTCTTATCTGTTCTCAGTAAATAAGACGCTTACCTTTACTTTAGATTCTTGATGGAAGAAGTCTATCCAGGCAGCTGAAGTTATGCAGTTTCGTTAATTTTCAAAATGAAATCATAGCGTGATAGTGTCACGTAATGTT